GAAGCAGCCAGAGCTTTCGTCGAACAAATCGTCCTACGTCATGGTGCCCCGGAGAAAGTAATAAGCGATCGTGGGCAGCACTTTGTCGCCAACTTGACCGAAGAAGTATTCCGGCTCGTGGGTAGCGAGCATGCCACCACAACAGCATACCACCCACAGGCCAACGGCTTGTGCGAGCGTTTTAACCGCACGTTGGCTGACATGCTCAGCATGTACGTTTCCTCACACCACCGCGACTGGGATGAATTCCTACCGTACGTTCTATTTGCATACAATTCTTCCACCCACGAGACGACTGGATTCACTCCCTTCTTTCTTCTTCACGGGCATGAACCGACACTACCGGTGGATGTAGGGTCGGGCGCGCAACGCGGATTCGACTACACCCTGGATGCAATGAAAGTGGCCCGCAGGCTGCGGCAGGCTCGAAAAATAGTAAATGAACGGGAGAAGCGTCAGCAGGAGAAGAATAAGCGCAGCTATGATGCTAGGCGAAGAAGTGTTGTTTATCATCAGGGCGACTTGGTGTACTTGTGGACTCCCTCCCGGGCGAAAGGGAAGACGACAAAGCTTCTTCACAAATATCACGGACCTTTCCGTCTTGTGCGCCAGGTAGCTGAGAACAACTGGGAGGTGGTAGACCAAACTGGGAAAAAACGTGACGTTGTGAATGTGGCGCGTTTAAAGCCCTGCCACGTTCGATTGGGCTCCGATGCCGACGACGCGGACGATGAGTCTGATGATAATCATGAGGTGCGCGATCTCGGTGGTGATGTGCGCGAGGGAAGTGCCAGGAGAGATGACCACGGATTGCATCGAAGTGTTGTGCGCGAGTGCAGTGCAAGGAGAGATGACCACGGATTGCATCAAAGTGTTGTGCGCGAGTGCGGCTCCAATGGTGATGTGCGCGAGTACGGTTCGCGAGTGGGTCAGGAACTCCGTTTGCAACATTGTGTGCGCGGGATACAGACCAGTGTTCCAGTACAGCAGTGCGAAAGCTACGACACGGACACTGAACTTTACTCGGACTGGAGGACATTTTCAAGTAATAACAACGCACAACAGAATGTCAGTGCTTACGAAACGGACACTGAATTGTATTGCAGTACCGATGAGTGAACCCTTATATTTCTGTGTCCAATGATTTTGTTTTGTTTTTTATCTGTTGTTTTATGTAATTTTTTTAAAACATCTCACACACTTGTTGAATGCAAAACCTTTTTGTATAATTAGTCTATTTATTGTCGTGTTTTGCACATAAAACGAGTGGGGCACTCTTTTTCGTAGGGGGGAGGTGTCGCGAGAGCAAGGTTTCCAGCTCCAGTATCTTCTCAGGAAATTTGTGCAAAACCAACTCCTCTGCTTCTTTTTTAAGTCTTTCTTTGCACTCTTCCACCTTTGGGTTTGTTTCTCTGGCCATTACAGAGCTTCGGCTTTTGACTTTAATGGAATGTGGGGTAAATCGTGTTTTCCAGCCTGGGACAGGAGCCTACACGCTGCATTTACGGCTTACCAACGGAGCAGTCAAGGCCGCCCCCGTTCGGGATTAGAAGGGGAAAGCTTACTAGGAAAAGCGTCTAGCAGGAGGCAGGTCCGGCGCCACCGTCCGAGTCTAAGCCATTGTTAACAGGCACGCGTGTCATTGAGAATGACATGGGGACGCGACCACTTAGCCTGACCGAGACATAGTGGCGGCAGGTAAACGACCATATTCTCTCGCGCTGTTGTTAGGATGTCGGGGCGCCTCGCTGTCGCATGTGCACCTGGTAAGCAATGGTGTACCCATCGCTCTCAAGGACGCTTCTAGAAAGCAACAGTTAATGAAAGAACTTACGGGGCCCGAGCGTGGGAACGGCCGCCGACGGTAGTCGACCGAAGGAAGCAGCACGGCCTGGTATGGGAGAGAGTGTCACGTGCGGAGGACCTTTCCCTTTGCGTGTTTCATTTTGGTAAGGAGGTTTTTACAAATGTAGTGCCTTTTATGAAAGTGTTTCTGTGATTGGTTGAGGTGCTGCGAGTCCGAACATGTGACTGGTTTTTGTGAAGACTCTTTGTACGACCAAGGGTTAAAAAGAGGTTGTTTGAACTTGAAAAGTGAGCGGAGCGGAGTCGGGGTCAACGGCGGATCTCACCACCGGAGACCAGCTATGCGGGCCGAGGGGTATGCCACCATTTTCTATGTTTTGTCTTTGTAACCCAGTGCATTTTGTAACTTGAAGTTGTGTTAGCTAAATAAACCCCCAATGAGTGCTCCCCGAATTCATCGTGTTGACTTCTCATCGATTGCCTCCGTGGAGTTTCAACCACACTTATTCGTCTCCCTGGTCGTCCGATGCGCCTAACTTGAACAACCCCGACGTTTCGCTACACCCCTTTCACATTACCGAAGAAAGCCGGCCGAAGTGCAGAATGAGGCGTGACGGCAAAATACCTTAACGACATTGAACGTTCGTGTGTTTAGTAGCCTCAGGCCTGATGGAAAACCGCCGGGACCGCGACCTCATCGTATGCGATTCAAAAGAATCTAGTTGAGAAAGGGGGAACGGTCAGTTCTAGTAACTTTTGCACAGGCGTGTTAAATATTGTTACTCAGTTGTACGCCAAGATGTGTATTCAAGTCTTTTAAATTTTGGAAGTTACGAGATGCGGTGTAATTTTTTTTAAAAGAGAAATCACCGAACCAAAGGCTGAAAAATAGCATGGAAGTAATTTAATCATTGTGCTAAAATTTGCATAAAGGTAAAAACCAAGAAAATGTGTTATTTTTCTAGTGTTCATAGGTTTAGTGTTATGTCGTATGCCTCCACTGCCATGGAGATGTGGCATGAATGAGCATTTGAGGAAGATGTTAGCATAAACCGAATGATTTCGTAAATTGATTAAGATTGGCGTGACCCGGTACAGTTGTCGTTGCGCGCATTGAGACTGGAGGTCTATGAGCATGTTAATGTTTTTTTCCTTTCGTCGGTTGTTTTCTATTTGTATTCACGTATTTCATTGTATAAGAAGTGTATTTTGAGTTATTTTCTTTTTGCTTGGTGCATTGGTTGATTTTACTTGCTGTTATGCACATTGAAGGATTACACTACAGTAGAGGAGCGCACCGGTTTCGTTTTGGTTCGTAGTATACATTCGTGCAGTGTATTCTGTATTCATGGCTGCCGTACATGGCTATTTCCTCTTCTTGTTTGTATTGCGCCTTGATATTGTTGCGTGTAACTGAAGCTGGTACTCTAACCATTGGTTGTTTTTCTTTTGGTTGTTACTTTGATGCACTCTGCCTAGTTATGTTGTGTATGAGAGGGACAGCCCTTATGCTTCCCTGGTTGGTGGTGTTTTGTTCCTTGTTGTCGGAAAAATTCCCCTCCGTGCGAACAAATGTTATTAATAACATTCTGAAAGTGGGGGGCAATGTCACGGACGGCTATTTTCGGCGACACCGCGTCACGGCAATTAACGGGCGCCGTACTCCCCGACTGACCGTAAGAAACGGCGGCACATGAAAGGCAACCGATAAGTGCAAAATGGGGGTGCTCTCCTTAGAACGTCGCCGCCGACAGTTAATCCTTTTATAACCGTGGCGACGTCTGCAAGGTCGTAGAAGGCCGCGGTATACCCCGTACAAGGATTAGACTACAAGACGCCCGGCTGAGAGCTAAGTGGTTGACCGTTCCCACAGAGAAAAGCGTGGGAAACGCTCTGGTGGCCAAGCCGTATGACAACCCGACAGGTTGTCACTCTCGCTAGTTGCGGGCCCTCTCCCTATTAAAAAGGGGTGGGGTCAAAATATTTTTGGGGCGGAGTTTCCCCTCAATTAAACGCGCATGATTGGACCCAGGTAGAGGTCTCTTGTTCCCAAAGAAGAGAGCGAGGAGACACGAGGGGGATTTAACCGCAGGATTTCGCCCTGCTAGGCAGACTAGTCGCTGACCAAGATGGTGTAGGAACAGATCAACAAGCATCTCTTCTAGAAGTTTTAGTGTGGCTCTGTATCGGCTGGCCACCTAAACGTAGCCGTTCGTCTAGTTGTGACGCGATATTAACGTCTGCAACGTAGACATCGGGACTTCACCTCGAGTTAGCTCAACCTGCTCGAAGTCACCTGCAAGCACTAGCCTCCCGGAGCCACCAGCGTTGCAACACCGCCGACATCGCAGTCGTGCCAGAATTCTCTTCGACTTCTCGCTTCCGATCGTCGGGGACGCAACGCTGCCGGTCATCACACGTATGCCTTCACCTGTTTATATCTTCGAACTTTATACTCCGTAGTTCTATTGTTGTTAGTTTGTGTAGTTTGTGATAGTTCTCTCGCGTAAGCTGATTTATTGTTTTGTATATATTTTTAGTTGCATCAAGTGTTGACGTGCTTTGTTAGTTGTATCGAAGTGTTGTATTATATCCCGTGTGCTGCAATATCACTATAGTAAAGTTTGTTTTGTTTTCTCACGTCTCTGATCTCTTCACTGTCTCTGCTTGCGTACGGAACGAACCAACCTGCTGTCATTCCCGTCGCCGACTTCGCGCTGGCGACGCTAGAGTGGCAGCTTGTAACAGGCAGTAAACAATTGCATTAAAAAACGGTAAAGAAAAGAGAATACTCATGGACGGAACGAGACGACGCTCGTCAGCGCTTCACTTTGTCGTGTTCCAAGCATGTGACACTTTTTGAGCTACACGATCTGCTGTGAATGACGATACTTCTCTTGTGACCTCAGCAGCGGCTCAGCAATATGAAAGCCAGCAGAGAAAAATATGCTGGAATTTATCATATTGCACTATAAAAGCCCACGCTAAACTAAAAGCAAGGGCTTCTAAAGTTTTTCTCGGGTAAACATTTTATGCTGTTAACCGGCGCATTTACTAATGATATGTCAAGCGTCAGGACTGGCTGAAAAAGTTTTTACGAAAGATGCGAGCGCTACAGGAGTTTTCAAACTCGCGCCCTTAATTTTGTACAACGCAGTCAGACTTAACGCGGCATCGGCGCAATCTTATCTCACCTGATTGATGAGGTTCTTGAATGTAGGCTGAGTTCGTTGTTCGAGGAAGTCGTAGAAGAAATCTGCGAAAGGAAAATAGATAATATGTAGAAGTTGTTTCAGTTTACACAACAGTTATTAGCACGTACACTGAAATACAAATATTCACTCGTCGTTGAACAGGCAGCTTATGTTGCATTTGAAGTAAATGAATCGGCATCGGTGCTTATGGAACATAAGTCATGTGTTTCGTTACCTGAAAGAGCTGTCAGTGACGTAATATCTGAAGACTCCCGTACGCTATGTCGCGTCTTGTAGAAATACATTGCGCTAAATAAATACTCACAAACTCATTTTCTTCGACTGTCGCGAATCATTGACGGCACAGATATAAGTGTGAAGTTACATTTGCATCGTGTGTGAAAAGGTACATCGGGTGCAATTATGTTACGTGTGTCGCCAGCAACAGAAACAGGTTATGGTAAATAGTTGAAGATTTTACGTTTAGACGGACCTACATTGGAAAAGCTGAACTATGATCAAGCAGTAAATGCAATCAAATTGTGGCATCTTTTTTTAACTAGCATTCGCAAACAACAACCAACATTAGCCGAAATCATATAACAGTAGGGTATGATAGGATAAAAGACAAAATTTTTTAATAGTGAATATTCATCTTTAGTTCACTCCTTACAATTAAACATCAATGCAGAAAAATTTTTTGGGGTACAAGGTATGTGCTACATAAATATTTCCATGTTGCTACAGTTCAAAAACTCCCAAGCATTTCCCCGAGGGTGAACATGGTTAAGTGCGAATGCACGGGGTGATGCTATGAGGGGTATTTATTAATTCGCACTATTATATTTATTAATCACACTATGGTGCCTTTATGGTGTAATGGTTCCTGGGAATCGCAATTGGATCACACGGGGGAGTTTACGTTAACTCACTGGCGAATGCCAACGAATTTTAACTTACTCCCTCTCATAGCATCACCCCGTGCATTCGCACTTAACCATGTTCACCCTCAGGAAAATGCTTGGGAGTTTTATTACTGATGATGACCACTAAAGTGTAATAATGAATTTAAGTGTTGTTTGTCATGAAGCATTTGTACACAGATACATTATATACGAAGTATTATTTATTTACACTTCACGACGCGTCCGGACGAGCAAAGTCCAGGGCTCGCACTCTCTCCCGCGCTCGAACGGCTTCGGGAACGTCCACTCGCCGTTGACGATTGCGAGCGGCGTCTTGACGCCAGCCTTCATCGCCCTTCTCCGCCTGACGCTTGCGTTGTCGTTCCGCTTCTTGGGCCGCGTTCGCGGCTCGATGCTGACGCCTCATCTCGGCCTCGCGAGCGCGCAGTTCACCATCCGCTGCACGCTTCGTCCGCTTCTCCTCGGCCTCGCGAGCGCGAAGTTCGGCATCCTCTGCACGCTTCGCCCGCTTGTCCTCGGCCTCGCCAGCGCGCAGTTCGGCATCCGCTGCACGCTTCGCCCGCTTGCACTCGGCCTCGCGAGCACGCAGTTCGGCATCCGCTGCACGCTTCGCCCGCTTACGTTTGGTCTCACGAGCCCTTCGCAGCGCCGCCTTGTCTTCCAATGTCGGCGAAACCACCGCGGTACCGTCACCTCCAACGACGGGTGCAGTGCTGGCATTCGGTTGTACTGCATTCGTTGTTGATGGTAGCGTTGCCTCCTGGACATCCATCGCACGACCCGCTCTCGACGGGGGACTGAGAGAGAAGGCGGGCGCGCGAGAGAGAGGGGTGCATGCACAGCTGCAGCGAGCGAGGAGAGCGGAGGAGCGAGCGAAGGGGGATATCAGCGTCAGGTATTAAATTTTTATTTACACAGAGCTGGTCTGACACTTTCCCCCCTTTGTCCATTCTGCGAAGAATCAGAAACTATTGAACATTATTTTGGCTCATGTCGTAACTATGCATAAATTCGGAAACGACTTTTAGATATTCCATTTGCGAAGCTAGGTTTAAATTTAACCACAGAAAATGTTCTAAGTTTTGGTGCCTCTGTTTTGGGAAATTGCCACAGAGATGCATTCGATGCGGTGTGTAATTTTATCCAAGACTCTAAACGTTTTTCAACTTAAAGCCCACGTTAACAGATACTCAAAAAAATGGGTCGAAAAGTAATTTTCAATTCTGGATAAATCCGTGACATACCAAATTGATCGTGTTTGGCAAAACCAGCTGTCTGGTCGGCTCCAAAAATGAAGTTGTAGCTATTAGTGTCTACTTTGTTGTTGATTCTTTTTTCTCACAATCTAAGTCTTTGGTTCTTTCTTTTTTTTAACAATTCACTATACAACTCCCCCCCCCCGTTTTTTTTTCGTTGTAAGCTATAATGAAGTTACCGTCCATATGACACTATATGTTCTCTTGGCCGATCCCCCAGAGTGGGTACGAGCCAAGGATTAGAGGATACAAACAAACAAATATCAGCGTCGCGTCCGTGGCTTATTCGGTAGAGCGTCGCGCTGCGACCCGCCAAGTCCTCTTTCTTTTAAAGATAGAGAGAAGACTGCGGACGCCGCCGACGGCAGTGGATGGTTTGGGGTTGCTTATAAAGTGTATTCACACATAAAAATACTAAAAAAATAAAAATGTGCCAGATGTTTCATTTTTCCCCAATCTACACAGCAAAACGAGACGCTGCGTGGTGCGAAATGAGGCAGTGTGAAACACAGTTAAATCATTCATTTTTTGCTGTAGAAAGACTTGAAATTCACTGTGGGCCTTTACGCAGTCCTAAAGAGCTCACTCTTTAAACTCCACGCATTGAACAGAACGCGGTGTTGTGTTGCTCCAAAACTCCTTGCAGATCAAATACCGCCGGTCTTTCTTTGTGCTAATGTTGTCCTTTGTTGAACGCTTGCACTTCATTTTAATATACAACAATTGGAGGCTAGATATGTTTTGGCGTATCCTCTGCACTGCAATTTGCCGTTTTGATGCAGAACTGCTCAAGCATTACATGGCTTTTACTTTCATCCACCGGGCTTAGTGATACAATGAATTTAAAACTATGTTACAGATTCAGTTTTTCTAGTGCTTGTTCTTTTTTCAATCACGGTATTGACGAAACGTTGTTAAAACTAAATTCCACGACGTTTTTGGGAATGACTTGACTTGGAGATTCCACTTCTTTTTATGCGTCTCTTGAGAGCATCCTTGGGCACAGCCATGGAAAAACTAAAGCATGCCATGAATGTCTAACGTGCCACAATTTTAAAAAAAAGCCCGCTTTGTCCTAGGGCATTTCGTAGTCTAAATTACGACAGTAAATATTTACGTTGCTGTATTGAAGCAGGAGTAGCTTCATGCACGGATCCGAAAATTTACTGAGCAGAATTTCACCCCATTTTGACGGGTGACGAACACACCAACACCAGCCGCGTAATTTTTCCCGCGTGAGCACTGTGAGGGATCATCAACTTTTACAAATGATAAGGTATAGAAGTACCAGTACTTATCGCCATATAGGGGAACAAAGCAAAGTAGTTTTTGCATTAGCCACAGACGGTCGGCGAAGTCAAAATGTGGCGTTTCGCCCTATGTCTCATTTTACCCCACCATACGCTATAGCCAATAGTTTTTGTCATGTCCAATATAATAAGCAATAGCACTGGCAATGTGCAAGTAAACACTGTAGCATACATGCAAGGTCACTGACTTTATACCCTCCACAGTGGTCTAGTGGCTAAGGCACTCGGCTGCTGACCCACAGGTCGTGGGATTGAATACCGGCCGTGGCGGCCGCATTTTCGATGAAATTGAGAATGCTTGACGCCTGTGTGCATAGATTTAGGTGCAGGCTCAAAAAGCCCAGGAAGTCAAAATTTCTGAATCTTTCCATTACGGCGTCTGTCATAATCACACAACGGTTTTGGGACGTTAAATTCTCACAAATATTACACTGATGCCCAACTTGTCTTACCGAACCTAGAGTGTTAAATGCATAAGCAAGGTGTGCAATGTGCACAACTCGTCCAAAGTCTATTCAGTACTACCAAATATATAGCAGCCGTTTTTAATTACCCGGTGTGACGGGCTCCTTAGCCATCAGGTAGATGAGGTAGCGGGCGATGTAGATCCACGGCCCGATCAGTTCCACCGTAGTGTTCGTGATGGATTGCAGCCGGCCGGCAGCCTCACGCTTGATGTCAATCGACTGGGCTTCGCATCTGGTCACGGCGAACACCAGGCAGCCAAGCACGCACGCCGGCAACACCAACCTACACGTGAAGGTCCTTCTCGTATACAATCGCAAGCACTAAAGCCCGTAGAAGCCGGTCCATTTGCGACACGCTTTACGATCGATCATCGATAAATGCGTGAAATTTGCAGCAGTTTGATGCCGTGGTTTTGGGGGCAGATTAAGACGAAAGTCAGAGAAGTCCTCAACAACTATTTGAAATTCCAGCGTAAATATTTATTTAATTACTGCACAGTTTGTCGTGTCATACTTTTTTTTTTCATAAAACGAATTCGGTTACCCGTTTAAATTCCAGCTTGTAACCATCTTTTGATGGCAAGCACTGCAGCGAAATGGAGAGTTGGACTAGTTTGGTTGGCGTTCACAAAATGTTAAACATATTTCGGAATTCCCGCCAAAACCTTCCACGCCGAGCGCCTCGCTAAGCTCGGTATTGACGTCACGAAAGTGATCGCGCCTTACCTCAACCAGGAGAAATAGATAAGAACTGTATAGGTAACAATGTTCAATTTACCATAGCTCGCTTTGCCAGCAGTGCACAGTAATTGCAAGAGTAAAGGGCGTGTGCGCATATCGCAGTGTCGGCCGCATCTAAAAAACCTTATAATTGGTATTCATACCACTAGAACTAGAACGCCTATACCATCTCGCGTGGAAAACATCTTTTACAAGACGTGTAACTGTGTGGTCGATAAACCCAGTAATTTTACTAATTCTGTGCAGTCAGTCACACCATACTTCTTCAGAAAACTAATTCGGTTAATCACTCAAATGACACCTCACAGCCATTTTCTGACGGCAAGCATGCGAGCAAAAGGGGAGCCGGGCTAGTTGGTTTGG